GCAATTAAAAGTCTTTCATCCTGTGTTTCTGTACTATATCTGGCCCTACATCCCGCAGCACTGCAAAGGCAGTAGAGGAGCACAGGGTGCAACCTAACATGGGCTAAAATGTTTATGTTAAACAAGTAATTAAACAGATATAAGTACAGCTTTCAGTCTCCTCATGTTCTCATAGCAGTCTGCAGATTTTGACAGACATCTAACAGTCATTTCTCAGGATTGAGCCTAAGACCTCATGGACCTGGCTTGTAACTAACTAATTGACTGACTGACTGATTGACTGACTCACTGACTGACTGACTGACTCACTGACTGACTCACTCACTCACTCACTCACTCATGTTTAGTAAGCTGAGTTTTCTCCACATTTTATCTAAATGGCTTTTGGTGCTTCGTAAGGTGCTATTTTGAATCAGTGACACTGCAGCTGTGTTCCAAAGTCTAGGCTGCATTTCTCACCTGCTACATCATAGTACACCTTTCCAAAGTGAAGAACCCTTCATATACAGCCTAGAAAGGCAGCCTACGTTCTGAGCCTACGAACTGATGCATCCTTCCTTCGGTTACCCACAGTTCTCTGCGCACGAATGACGCAAAGTTAAAAAAGCAGCACGGCGAAAATGACAGAAAACGGAATAGTTGGAGCAGAGTTCGTTTTAAAATGTTGTTAACGGCTTTAAATTCGTCTTCATTACCTTATAGAGTGTAAAATGATTGATTAATTAAAGCATTCGCCCAAATATTGTATATCATCCATATATCGTATTTTAGTCTGAAGAATTTGTATATATGAAGTTTATCGTACTACATAAGTTTGTAGGTGTATTAGCTACCATGGTAACAAACACAATGCAATGGGCTTTATTTTCTCTCACCAGTTCCCTCACTGATCCGTCTGTGTGACCAGTAGGCTACTAAGGAGGAGTCTTCATAGGATAGTCCTTCAGAGGACCCGCACTACCTCGGCTGCAGCCTCGGCTTTGGAACACAGCTCGTGTGTCTTTGTTGTAGTTAACATTTTCATGGTAAGTGTTTTAGATTACTGACCTTTGTGTATAAGTCATAATTAATATATATATATATATATATATCAGTTTAATCTTTCTGATATTTGTTGTTATTATTGCTGTGATTATTGCTGTTCTACTTTGTGAGCAAAAATACATTCGACACTGTAATATATTGGACTAAACGGGGTCAGTTGTGTGCTGGAGGTTAGGGAACCAGCCTTGTGACCGACAGTACGTGACTGAAGTGCCCTTGAGCAAGACATCTAACCCCCAACTGCTCCCCGGGCACTGCGGATAGGGCTGCCCACCACTCCGGGCAAGTGTGTTCACTGCCCCCTAGTGTGTGTTCACTAGTGTGTATGTGGTGTTTCACTGCACAAATGGGTTAAATGTGGAGGTGAAATGTGGGACTAATAAGGGTCTTTTAATCTAATCTAAAATCTATATTTTTAAACACTTAATAAGAAAGAGAGTTATTATTTGCTTAACTGCCTTTGGATGTAAACGTGGTTATTGTACTACAATCTTGGGCTACAAGTCCATCCAGAAGTGTGTAGAACCCGTACTCTCAGTGTTAGATCTTTAATCTATGCTCTATGTGCAGCAACTGAGCTCATACTTACAGATATTGCAGAGTAATGTTGGGACAACAGTTCAAAATTAGTAGGCTACAATTTGGTGACCCAACATCAAGCAGAGTAGTTAAACTATTACTGTGTTAAGATGGGGCTTTGCAAACTCCAGAGGGATCAAGCTCAGTTCAACCTCTTCATTATAAGGACTACGCTTGAGTTTGCACTGCTTGGAGTCACAACATTTCAACAAGCATTATTTTCGGAAATCCTGATTCGATCAGAACTACAGCTAATGATCTGGGGCCTTTATCTCCTTATGTACATAGCCACGTAAAAAATCTTGGCGTTATCTTTGATTCGGCTCTTAAGTTTGAGAAGAAAATAAACGCTTTAAACGATTTTTTTTAAACGAATTTGAAGTTTTATTATTTGTTTTTAAAGCATTGCATGGCTGGGCTCCCAGCTGTATCTCTGACCTCCTCTGCTTCCAGTCCACCTCACCAGTTCTACGGTCTTCTTACCAGTTGCTTTTAGCCATTCCACGGTCTCGGATGAGACTTAAAGGCGACTGGGCGTTTTCTGTAGCTGCCCCAAGACTCTGGAACAGTGTTCTGCTTTTCATAAAGGAATCCCCCACAATAGAGGTTTTTAGGTCAAATCTAAAAATCCATCTATTTTCTCAGACTTTAGAGTCTTTTTGATGATTATGCGCTCAGTGTCTGTTCTGTCTTGATTGGTTCTGTGTTGCCAGTGTAGCTCTTCTATTTTATTTTGTTTTATTTTATGTTTTATTCAATTTGTTTTGTATGCATGTTGTTATTTCTTTTTTCTTGATCAATTTATTGTATAGTTTTGATTAATTAGTAGTGGTTATTTTAATTGACATTATTGTGCAGCACTTTGGCCGACACTCCTTGTCTTTTAAATGTGCTATAGAAATAAAGGTGACTTGACTTGACTGTCCTGTCAGTAGTCCACTAGAGGTCAGTGTTGAGCCATAGAAACATATTATACGTTAACGTTATTACGCCTAGAGAAGTAAGGAGTGTTAATGTAATTAACAGGTGGTCTGACATCTATCAGAGAACCAGAACTTTTTGACCCATTGATGCCCAAAAACTTTATTAAACTTTTTATTAAAACTAATTTTTCATGATTTTAGGAAAAATGCCACGTAATTTTTCTGAGAAAGTAAATGAAAGTGGTGAAACTGTATGTGTTTATACTTTGTATGAACATCTAACCTCTTTTTAATTATTTATTATTTAATCAGTAAAAGATATGTTCTTCAGTGGTCAGGACCATTCTCAGCACTGCAGTAACACTGACGTGGTGGTGGTGTGTTAGTGTGTGTTGTGCTTGTCTGAGTGGATCAGACACAGCAGTGCTGCTGGAGTTTTTAAACACCTCAGTGTCGCTGCTGGACTGAGAATAGTCCACCAACCAAAAATATCCAGCCAACAGCGTCCTGTGGGAAGCGTCCTGTGACCACTGATGAAGGACTAGAGGATGACCAACACAAACTGTGCAGCAGCAGATGAGCTATCGTCTCTGACTTTACATCTACAAGGTGGACTGACAAGGTAGGAGTGTCTAATAGAGTGGACAGTGAGTGGACACAGTGTTGAAAAAGACTGTTTATAGTATATTACAGCTATTATTATATTATTTTTGCAATTTTATTAGGTGAAATTGTTCCATTATACTGGTAGATAATTTTGCTTGTTAAGAAAAGCAAAATTACATGGAAATATAGTGAGTAAAACAATTTCTAGCAAGTAAAAATATCTAGAACTCAGTTAATTGACCCATGGTTTTTGTATGTAAACCCACACAAAGATTTTAAGTGGACAATGGAGCAATTTTTTTTTAGCATATGGGCCTTTTAAATCTAATATAATCTTACAATCTTCTTACAACAATCTCAAAATAAAATTATTAAAAATATTTGAGGTGTAGACGGTGCAACTAATTTAAAATTGGGCATCCAAGCATCCCATTCCAGTCTTTTGCCCAGAGACCCAGAATCATTAAATCCCACCTGCTGGTGTGTTTACTGTAAAAAGCCATTACATTTTAATGGAACATTTCTGGAAAAGAGGAATTTTGTCTTTTCCAATGAAACGATCAATCATGCAATATATGCCCAGGAAAATGAACTGACAATGTTCAAAAGATCAGTATTGATTATAGGATGACTTTATTACCCTACATACATCCAAAATATCACTTTATATTTCATTGTTAGCCAGATATTCTTGATTCAGGCAAACTCAGAGAATATATGGACCAAAGGAAATAATAAAAAAAAAAAATCATCCCAAAGGGATAAAAAATCATCCCGTGGACCAATTGCTTGGACAACTGGGTTAACTTTCAAGCTACATTAGAAGGGAATTCCACCAATTTTTTAAAATTTCTGTGTAATTCAGTCTTTGAAATGTAAACACAGTCATTCAGAGTGGTGCATTTTAGAGAAAGTTACTAAGATATCTTACGGTGTTATTGATAGGAACCAGAAGTCACAATGTCCGCAACACAAATATAGCCGTTATCCAAAATGAGCATACACTCATCTTCACTTATCTTCTAAGTTTTATATGCAACACTAATAATGGTGAAAAAAACAATCAAACAAAAAAACATTTAGGCCAAACATTCTAGTAAAACTACCATAAAGCAGTGTCTCAGGCATCAGGCAGCACATTCATAATCATTTCATGTAATAACTTTATGTAATGTAGCCTTTAGAGGTGTTGACCTCTTCAGACGTCTGGTTCCTATCACCACCACAGTGAACGATTCTGGCTCGGCAAATTTCTCTAGAACGGCGAATTTAACATCAAACCACTCTGGACGACTTTTGTTTACATTTCAACCGTTAAATAATGCGTAAATTTGGAAAATTCAGTGGGATTCTCCTTCATAACTGGGCCTTTTGCCAAAACAAAGTCACACATCCCATCCCACACATGAACTAAGGTCAAAATGTTATATATTTTAATGTTAATAGCACTTTATTGAGAAGTTTCAGCGCTATATTTCCGTCCTCTAGATGTCAGTGTTGCACCTTAGAGAGACTTTCTTGCGCTTGGTGTTTTTAATGCGGGCCCAGTGGGATTAATTGACATCAGCTGAAATAAAACCACAAGCATTCTGAATTGAATTTACCCGGCACCAGCCTGGAGGGATGTTTCTAGAAACTCTTTATTATGGTGGTCAGAGCTCTTTGTTGTGGTGGTCAGAGCTCTTTGTTGTGGTGGTCAGAGCTCCGTTTACTCGAACGCTCCTTGTTTTCTCTGCTGACGCTGATTAGAATGAAGCCTACTGGAACGCTGTGGTCGTGGCGTCACACGCGCGTGGGCGTGGTTTAGCGGATAGAGCGCTGTGGCAGTCGGAGCTGCGCGAGAGCGAAGCGGAGCGGCGCGCGGGGTGGATCGTCCCCTCGGACTCCTCAGTTATGGAAGGAGCGGAGCCGGAGCAGCGCGTGTCCTCATCTCTAATCAGAGTATCCCTCACGGTCGCCCATGCGAGCGAAGTTTCACGCGTTTAAGCGGGGAAATGTTTGTTGACCGCGGAGATGGACACAGTTAAATGGGAGTGGGGCAGAATGTAGACAGATTTCTGTCTGAAAAGAGCGACAGAGGACGTTTCTAACCTGCTGTTTCCTTTCACTCCTTCCTTTCCTGAAGGACAGTTTGTGAAGAGGAGCTGCTTTTGTGTGAGTCCACTCAGGATTGACCTCGAGCCTCTGTAAGTCTCCGTCCAGCTGCTGGCTGGAAGAAACTCTTCTCATAATATAGATAAATTCCTCAGCTCGGTGTGAAGTTCAGTGCCGGTTAGTCACCATAGTGCAGGCTTCCTTTGCAGGGTCTCTTTGGAAGGAGTTGGGTTGGTTTCAGCAGCTCATTCCTCTCTCCGCCATGGCTCTACCCGACAACTCCAGCGGCGTTCCGGAGGAACTTTCCTTTCCTGAGATTATTGAACTAAATGTCGGGGGCCAGGTGTACATAACCCGCTACTCCACCCTTACTAGCGTGCCAGACTCCCTCTTGTGGGAGATGTTCAGCCAGAAAAGCCCTAAAGGCTTGGCTCGTGACACCAAGGGTCGCTTCTTTGTCGACCGAGATGGCTTCCTGTTTCGTTACATACTGGACTACATGCGAGACCAGCAGCTTGTCCTGCCTGACCACTTCCCTGAGCGAGGGAGGCTGCAGCGGGAAGCCGAGTTCTTCAACCTTCCAGAGCTGGTCAAGCTGCTGGCCCCAAAGATCAGCAAACAGAACTCTCTGGGTGATGAGGGTTGCCAGAGTGACCCTGAGGAATCGTCGCCCAGCGCCGACGCCGCTCGCAACCTGGCCTCTCTCGGGGCGGCGGCGGCCGCCTGCTCCAGCCTAGTGTCCGGCAGCGGGGACGGCAAGCGCTCCGGCTTCATCACCATCGGCTACCGGGGGTCCTACACGTTGGGCCGCGACAGCCAAACAGACGCCAAGTTCCGGCGGGTGGCTCGGATTATGGTATGTGGAAAGACCTCTCTGGCCAAGGAGGTTTTTGGGGAAACTCTGAACGAGAGCCGGGACCCTGACCGGCCCCCAGAGCGCTACACCTCCCGCTACTACCTGAAGTTTACTTTCCTTGAGCAGGCCTTCGACAAGCTGGCTGACGCCGGCTTCCACATGGTGGCCTGCAACTCGACGGGGACCTGCGCCTTCGCTCACGACCAGACGGACGACAAGATTTGGACCAGCTACACTGAATATGTGTTTTACCGTGAGTGAGCTCAGAACCTCTGTTCCTGCGCCTCCACCCAGCCTCCCGCCTCTCTCTGAGACGGCGCTCCCTGCAGTAGATGTAGAAGCTTCTAGATTACCACCCCAAAACACCTCCATCCAGACTCTTTCCCTCAGCAGAGCCCTCGCTGTGGTCGACCACTCCCCCCCTTCGAGCTAACTGTCCCTTCTAACCGCAGCCCTCCCCTCAGCCAGAGACTGCTCCCGATTCTTGTGTAACCACCTCTAACGTTTCTGGCCTTTGTGAAGTACAGTGTCGTACTCTTTGAGTTCATTTTGTGGTGTTCATTTGCTGTTAAACTGTTCAAAGTGACAAAAGGGCCAGTTGAAAAGGGCTTGGAAGAGTCAACCAAATAGTCGGACGTCTTTTAAAGCTTTCCGGATTGTCCATCCCTAATGAAAAAGATGCGTTCTTCAGTCAAGCCACATTTTGAAATGTCTTTTGGGACCAAACCTTTAGAAAACCAGCACGTAGACACGATAACCGCATCAGCCGTACAGTAAACGACAGGCATGTCGCTCTGAGACTGCATGTAAATAAAGTACAGCTGTCACTAGAAGATAGAGTGATGTTCTACGTTTTAGCTCTGGTCAGCTGACAGTAACAGTCTTAGGAAGAAATGAACCTTGTGTCATACTATTTTATAGTACTTATAACTAGCAAATAGTGTTAAAACGAGAAGGGAAATTTGCTTTGCTGCCAAAACGGGTCAGTAAGGTGAGTGACAAGGAAAGAGGAAGAGCCCATGAGAGGCACCAAAACAAAAGGATTAAGACGTTGCCTGAAATCTGCTCAGAAGGAAAGGCTGGTGAGATGTATTGATAGTGACGTGGAGCATTCAGTATTCTTATCGCCTACACTGCAAGGGGAGATATTGGGCACTGCGTTAGAATATATGTTGTATTTTTTTTATTATTATTTTAATTTCTTCAGCTGGTTTCCAGCCAGACTGTTTAATATGGCTTTATTGAAAGATAACAAGCTGTTTGGTTTCCTACCATGTGTGTACATGAATCATGGAAAATCACTTTCCAGTCTTTCCTTATAAGGATCCGACATGTGGCTGTGTAAGCAAACCTTTTTTCATTACTAACTGAGTTCAGTGTCAGTGCTTAGGTTTTGGTTGCACAAATAAAGTGAGAGTCATTCAGGTTAATGTGGCCCTCATGATAGCAGAACACCAGACATTACGTGGAGGATAAAAGGTTATGATTGTGAAACTTTAGACAAAAAAGAAAAACGTTTTCAGGTACACCCTCAGGACAACCAGGGCTTTGCACAGCAGTTGTTACCTCAGATCTTAAGGACAGAATTGTACAAACTGTTAAGGCACGAAATACAAACACAGCTCTTATCATAGGTATTTTTCACCAATCGCCCTCTTCAGTGGATCCTGGCCAAAAGTTTGCTATTGTTTTATAAGCCGAATGGTTTACGTGCAGCCATTCGTCGAAATGACGCTGAACCTTTTACTCTCATTTGAAGTTCATGTGAAGCATTGCGTGTTGTAAAAGGCAACGAAATGTCATTAACCAAGCATGAATAAAGCAGCAATTATGGAAGATGTACTCTGTGATGAATTGAACTGATAATCTTTCATTTGTGTATTACCATCATAAAGCTCGGGAAGCGCGTCATCTAATCTCAGATTTTCAAAAAGAAAATAAATTGTTTGGTTAATAACTTCATCAAAAACACTGAAAAAAAAGCAGGTGCACCTCTGTTCTCCCTGATACTGTCTGAGGAGAAATGCCATTTTCTTGTATTTTACCAAATTTTTATCAATTACTTTTTGCTCTGAAACAGGGTCACTTGGGAATTATCCTAACGCTGCTGTGTGGCGTATGTGTATCACTGAACTGGAAGGCATTAAAGCGTTTTCATCATGCGTGTCTCCCCTGAGCGCAGTTCTCCTCCCAGCGCCGAGCACAGTCTCCTTCTCTCGCTCGTCCGCCTTCTCATCTTCCTTTCTCTCTGTGGCAACTTCAAAGGCTGACCAAAGACAAGGCCAGAATAGAAACCAGGGCGAACGTATAACCGGCTCCCTCAAAGCAGATTACCCACCCTTGTATTGCTGTGACTAATCTAAGTAATTAACCTTCGGATTAGACTCTCAGGTGGCACAGCGAGAACCTTAAAGTTTCCCTCAAAAATAGTAGAAATATTACGTTTGTTTGGCTTCGCCTGATGGGCACAGCGTAGCGTCCCTTTGAAAGAGGAGAGCTTCGTATTTGAAGTGTCTTATCTGTCTGAGGAAATCCTCTGCCCTAATCTGAAGGCTAAGATGGTGCGGATCCATGATATAATCTTATTTTCATCTGCTTTTCTGTTTGCCCCAAGTGCAGTTTATTCATCGGGAAAGGCTTTCGCTATGAAGAGGTTCATATATAGTGAAGTTCATATTCTGAGTTCATATACAAGACTAACTGTACATTGTTTGGAAATGCAGTGAACACATAGTTCATTACAAATAAAGGTTCCTAAATAGTTCTTGTCTTCTGATTCTAGAAAAGCTGGTTATCAACCTCTACATTATGCAGAGGGTTTTAACACTTTAAAAAGGTTCCTGGCAGTCAGTCATATCATTTACAACTATGGTTCTTTTATACTGCAGTCGAAACCAAACCATGACTGTAAGCGCAGGATGTTGCTTATTCCATACAAGAATCACAGCCCTGCGTAATCTCCTCATTTCATCATTTCGTGGAGCCATAAGTAATTGGACAGTTGGCTGCTCAGTTGTTTCTTTGCCAGATTTGTTCTATTACATCATAACTTCATGGTCAGGAAAGCTAACAGTAGGTCTGGAGTCGTTTCTAGATGTGACATTTCCATCTGAAGTCTGTTGTTATTGTCTCTCAAAAACCAAACGTCTCCAAACTCACTGGGTACTTTACCTTGGACAATGACTTTGATATGCTACTGAAGGAACTACGTACTCAGCTGGCCAAATCAATCATCTGACCTGAACCCCATCGAGCCTCCATTTCACTTACTGCCCCTTAATCAGCCTCCTGAAACAAGCAGGAACTGAAAATAGCTGCATTATAGACCTGACAGAGCGGCGCCGGCCTCCAGGTGATATCTCTGGATTGCAGACAACAGGCAGGGATCGATTGGTTAAGGACTGGGTAGGATTTGCAGGTTTCAAACATTAACAAACAATTTTATTTACGTTAATTTGTCCACTTATCTACGGCCTCCTGAAGTAGCTACATGTTTAAAAGAGAACATGATTCCTATGTGGTGTAAATATTCTCAAAAAGCTGGAATTTTGCACTTAAATCTCACTTTAATGTCACTTTTTATTTTTAATGAATGTGCTGGAGAACAGAGCACTGCAGAACCGCATCACCACCCAATTACTTCTGCACTGTAAGTGAAAATTCTGACACTGATATTTGAGGAACTGTTGTATTCAGCATTGAGTCTCCACCTACCTCTTAACTACGGGTCCAAAACTATAAATCAACATACATATGCAGAGGTTTTGGCGCCCTGGTCAAATGATGTGTTTTGCTGATTAACACATCATTTACAAAGAACCTAAATCTGCACATTCAAATGCACAATTACTGTGTTTTTGCTAATTTAACATACTGGGAGAAAACATAAAACATTAAAGGTGAGCTGTGCAAAAATTTCACATTTCATGATTTTGTGTTTTTACAGCACAATGTAAAAAATGCATCTTAAATTTGCTGACATAGCGTGTTTTGTTACCTGAATAAAGAATTAATTTTAGGTAGTTGAACAAAATTTGCCTTAGTACTCAAAACTTTAATATCCGTATTTTGTGATTTAACTAATTTGTATTTGTGCCTGAACTAAAAATTTTAATTAATTTACCACCAGATAGTCAGTTAACAAAACAACAACCTGAGTCCTACATTCTGTTCTGTCAATTTATTTTCTGCTGTTCCATGAATTCAGAATTGTAATCTAGCTTCGTTACTTACTTTTTACTCAGAGCAACAAATATTCTTCACAGTATTTCAAAACCCAGTTTTTTAAAACATTTGGTCACTAAAATATCACCTAATATAATATTGGTCACTTAAAATATCACCTCTAGGGCCTCTAGGGCACCAACTGGCATAGCCATCTGAGCACTTGCCTCATTATCAGGAGAATGTTGGTTTGAACCCCTGTGATGCCAGTCCTACTGGTGGGGAATGTGTGTGTGTGTGTGTGTGTGTGTGTGTGTGTGTATATATATATATATATATATACACACACACACACACACACCCATATGTATGACATTTCTTAAAAAGTACAAATAAATAGAAATTTTGCAGAAAAAAATGGCAGAAAAATGTAAGACTTAATAATTTACACTTTGAACAGAATTTGATGGGGGCACAAAAACTTTTGAGAACTGTATGAAAAGTCTTTCTTTTTGGCCAAGGAGGAAATAAAAAAAAGATATGAAGTATGCATGGAAGGAATGAAAAATTAAACATATATTAAAGTCTCACTTTCACTCATTGAATTATAGAATATTAAAGTGAATGAAGGTTTAAATATGCCTGAGTTAGTCAAATCAGCCGACTGTAGAAGCTCTTTATCATCATTAATATGTTCTACATTCTTCTCTGGTTTTGTGAAGCTGGAAGTCTCAGACAGATTGGTGTAGAATGACAGTAATGTTTATAATAACATTTATTTATTTATATTTAGACTATGTGAATCTTGTAGTCCAGGAATAGCTGCTCCTTTATTAGCTGCGCATTAAAAATATCCCAGCACTGTGCAGTTTTATCATGTACAGTGCAGATGATGCAATTCCAAGTTATTCTGGTTCAGGACACATGAATGTTTTTCATCATTGCCACTGTGAGTTCAGTACAAAGACGCTTCTGTGGCTTCAGGCTAAAGCTCAGTAAAGTTACCGTCGTCCTGATGGGAGCACGTTTGGATATACTGGGTCAGAAAATTACAGATTTCAGCGCTGGTTCTTTGAAGACTGATGTGGATAAAAGCCAGAGTTCATATTTTTGTATTTTATTAGGTAAAATTCCATTGAATACATTTTAGGAACTACACCAGCATTATTGGCCCAGTCAGTGTGATGCTCTGTGTGACTCTGACATAATTAAATCTGTTAATCAAATCTCAGCGCCGTGGCTGAGCTGAGTTTCAATCACGTTCTGTGTGTTAACTCGTCTTCCATCTCTGCCTTTTTCACTCCCAAGAACACAAAGACTTCAGTATGGCTGCGGTTTAAGCTTCAAGTATCCAGTAGGAGGTTTTTCAGAGCTTCGACTGCAGGGTAATGACATTTAATAAGACCCCATATTCATATCAGTACAGTACTGTACAATACAGTACTGTACGAAAGTCAGAGGTCACCATTTATTCATTACATTTCCATTCAAAACAGCCATAAAGTACAAGTTATTCATTTTATAGAGTCTGAAAAGGCAGAAAACATATATTTAACAGAAAATTACACGGAAGTTTCTACAACTAAATATAATACCAGTAACGTCTTCTTGACAGCTATACATCCTTTCAGACCCACAGCGCTGAGTCGTCTTCTCACAGTGGAAGGATGGACAGAAACACCTGTGGATGTTTTCAGATCTGATCAGCTTGATTTTCTCCTCTCTCTCACAGATGAGAGCTTTAAGTGCTGTTTATCTGATGGGGCAGTTCTGATGGTCTACCGGGTCTTGCATGTTGTTTTTCATATAAGTCCCATTTTCTATATACTTTAATAGTTCTGAGAATTATTTTTCATTTATTTTTCTTTGACATTTCTTTTCATTATGCAGGTTATTTATCTAATATCTAAACTTCTCAGAAATACCTTAAAAAATGACCAACCTGTGATCAAGACTGGTAAAAGGTTTTAGACACCAGTAAATCTGAGGTAAACAGCTATTTATCTGGGTGTGTAGTTCCTCAAAAACAATAAAACAATATTACAATAAATACAAAGGATATAATTGCAGTAATTAATGATTTTTTGTAAGTCATTGTTCATTTAAAGATTTCCACACCTCCCCATAAGGAAACCTGATATTAATTACAGTTATCATCCAATACTTAGTTTGGCAAATTCTGGGTTCGTTATGTTAAATCAGGGCTGCTGTTGATGGAATTTGATCCAGGAGATATTTAGAATTAAACTTTGTCCTTTAAAATAGCTCATAAGATATTAAGTACTTTTTTGAAAATTATACATCTCTGCTGTCGGAACAAAACCTCGTATCTCCATTTTTGTCGTTTTTCTGTTTTTGTCATACTTTGAAAATGCCTGTTGCTCCTTATATTGTGTGTAAATTTCATGATGAATGGACCAAAAGAAACGGCCAAAAATGACTTGGAAAAAATTCTGGTTCCATTGACTTACATTAAAAGTAAAGTATGTTTTTTCCTTCTCCTGTAAAGTTTCTATTTTAGAGGTTTTGTTCCGACAGCAGCGTATATACATTATACATATAAAAACAGAGAGTGAGTGAGTCCATACATTTACTTCAAGATGATACTATGCAGTGATGTACTGTGGAGTAATAGAACCTGAACTTGCTTAATTATTGTTTGTTCAAAATCACCAGTT